TGTTCCTACGACAAATGAGCTCTACCCTGGTTCTGATGAGACACCACATTTGTAGTTTCTGTCAAACAAGAGTTAGAACTCATTGCTGTGTGTCAGAGAAGGCACACACAAATACACACATACAAAGATACACACAATATCATATCTATACCAACATTTTGGTAAGATGTTTGATTGCTTCCCTGTGTTATAATGGCTGTGTTGTCTAGAGAAACAACACCAGTGACACTCAGCTATGTATTAGAAATAATTTTATATCAAGACATAACTTTATATCAAGAAAGCATCCAGGTTCAGTTCAGCTTACATCCATGGGTCTGATGTTAGCCAGAACCCTCTTCAAGCTTACATAGCTGCAGGTCAATGGCACAAAGGTGAAATGGGAAGCAGGGAGATCACAGTCAGTGGGGTGCAGTCAAGGTTGGTAGAAACATGGCAGGGTACCACCAGCTCTCAGAATCAGGCAGCCCACATGGGGCCACCCCTGGAGGCAGACAAAGAGTCCAAGCAAGGAGGAAGGCAAAGAGACAAGAGAGAGCAGTTCTCACTGTCTTTCTCATAGAAAGGTCACAGTCCCAAGGAGGCATCATCAGGCTGTGACCTGATGGATAGGTTGGATTCCACCCCTACACATAGGAGCCAGTTGATTTAAAATCTAACTGCCACACTCCCCTCAGGAAGCTCTGTTAGCTGTCTGGAACGAAGACTATTATTGATGACCTCATTCTTTGATACCTACAATTTTCTCCATTATAAATATTTTGCTAAGAGGTGCTGTATATGCTTTACATGCTATTATTATAATCAGAGCCCAGAGTTTTATAACTTCCATTAGAGGTACATCTCCCTGAATTCGAGGTCAAGTTTGGATAATGTAGAAATTTATACTGTTCTAATAACAATAAAGGATATAAAATCTTAATTTAAACTCATGATGGGGATGAACACAAACATGCCCATTGCTGTAGCCAGGAGTGAGTTAGAGAGGTGGGAGACCTGGAGCTGAACTTTGTTCATAGGATTGAGTCAGGTAGCAGGTTAGAGGCAGGTGTTCAATTCAACAGACACAATACAGAGTCTTGAAGGTTTGGATGACAATAATGCTAATGGTTAAACAACTTTTCCTGGTAAGATCTCCAAAAGGTGAAAGAAACAACTTGTCCTGTGCAGGGCACCAGAACAACCTGATGCGGTGAAACGGCTTTTGCTCAATGGGAATATTCTCAGATCAGAAAAGAATGATGTTTCGAACTACTTTATTTTGGGGGTAGTGGGGAAGGGAAGCCTAAAAGATTACTCAACTCCTTTTATTCATATTCTTCACTCACCAGCACGCCCATTACTATATTTGGTCTCCAGCATGATTTTGCCCACAAGGAAGATATGTTTTGTGTAATTTTATTACTAAACAATTCTGCTTTTCTAAATTAATGTCAGCTTTCCAAAGTATCAGTCAGTCTCCATCAACTGATCACTCATAATATAAGTACATCTGTTAGTTCGGGTTGACTAGAGAAACAAGTTCATAGACACTCATATGTGTATAAGAAAGAGCTTTATATAAAAGAGCAATTATATATTGAGAAAACATCCCAGCCCAGTCCAGATCAAGTCCATAAATCTGATATTAGCCCATATGCCCAATACCAGCTATAAATTCTCTTCAGACTCACGAAACACATGCAAGGACGCCGAATGCAGGAAGATCATAGTCCAGTGGGTGGAAAGTCTTGTGGATCCAGTGGTAGCAAAAGCATCTCAGCGTTGGTGTGGGCCTCTACGTGGCTCCTCCAGCTCCAGGGCTCTAGCATAGCTCCATGTGTCTTGTCAGCAGGAATGCCTCACAGGGAGTATGTGTCCCGCCTCCAGCAAGCTATTTATCGCTTAGTACCTCCAAATGAGGTCATCAAGTTGCGACCTGATTGACAGGCTAAACTCCACCCCTTCACTCTTAATAGTCTCAAATTGACAACAGATTATGTAACTACCATAGTACATAAAGTCTGATTTCTATACAAGGTGATCTGAGATGTGAATGAACCTCAATAAGCTCACTATTCTGCTCAGTGGGGGTCCTTTCAGAAGTTATTTCAGTATGTGTTCCATCCCTCTGCTTCTTCTTAATGTCCTGAATCCAACATGCTCCTCGCCTATCTTTCTGCTCTTACTCCTTCCAGTCAGTAATCTCAGTTTGCCCCCTGACATGATTCTTTTGGCATTGTTAATAAATGCAGGACACCTCTTTTGGGGCCCCATGCAGACTCAAAAGGCCCTTCTCTGTCTTTAGCAGGAATACATAAAGATAGCACTTACATTATAAAAAGTACACATGGGCAGACATACTTCTTGCTAGCAAGCAGAGTAAAACTTTCTTCTTGAAAAAAGAGTCTACTTCCTTAGAAGAGGTGAGGAGGAAATTTTTATAGGAAAGTTGAGATCAAAGAAATGCTACATGTTCATACAATATTTGGAGGGATTATACATGTTCATAAGATCTTATGCATTATTCATAACGGCCTGGGCGGGGTGTTGTCACGCATGTGGCCTTGGACCCTCCACTTTAGAAGTTGGTCTGGGAAGTACAAGAGGACATCATTCTGGAAAATGTTGCTTCCTTGACTTGAGTTCCATTGTTCTGGGTCGTTGGCGGCCCTGTTTCACATGCTCAAAGTCAGGTTCTGAGCAGGTTCCGGATGACTTCTCTAAGGGTGCTTATCAGCTATTTACTTCTGTAAGAAACATTTCCTAGGGGATTTAGAAGTTTCTCATGCAGGGCAGTGCAGTCATGGGATAGTGGAGGTTATTTTCCAGCTAATTTATCTGTGCAGATGGAATTCAGCTTCAACAATGGGTCTTTTTCATTTCTAGCTTCCTCACTATTCCTAACCTGTCAATCAGAGAAGCAGTTTGTCTGTGTAGATGGGCTGCATTTGAAACAAAGGGGACCTTCTGTTCCCAGCTTACTCACTGTCCTTAACCTGTCTCAAGATGACCACACAGGGGCAAATTTGACCTTTTCTGAAGACAGCTCTGCGACTGTGTTCTGACAGTACATCTCTGGACTAACGGCATCGTATTTCTAGCATCAAGTCTCTGTGGTTGTTCGGCACCGTGGGGTAGGTTCGGATTCATAGAGACCCTGTTTACAACCTACCTGGTCCTGCATCATCCTCACAATCGTTCCTAAGCTTGAGCGCATTGTGGCAGCGACTGTGTCAATCCATCTTGTCAAGGGCCTTCCTCTTTCTCTGCCCTTTACTTTACCAATGAAGCCCTGGTGGTGTAGAGGTTAAGAGTTGGGCTGTGGTCTGCATGGTCAGAAGTTCGAAGCCACCAGCAGCTCTGAGGGACAAAGACTGTGTTTTCTACTTCTGTAAACAGTTACGTTCTCGAAACCAACTGTCAGATGACCTTTACCCAGGTTTCTCCTGAGGTTTGATGCCAGCCATGCCCTTTCCTGAATGACAACACAGTTAATGGAGACAAACAGATTCTGACCCGAGATTCTGCCTTTGAATTCTGCCTCCCCTGTTTACTTGATCTTGGCAGAGCTATTTTAACCTCTGGCATGCAGTTTCCCTATTTGAGAAATGAAGAGAATCACAGTGTCTATACTTGAGGCTGTGGTGGAGAGAGCTAATAAATGCATACTACCTGGTGTATGTTAAATGTGCCATACATTTCAGCTGCTGTTAGTGTTCCATTTCCTCCTCTAAGAAAGTCAACACAGGGTTTGCTAATTACTTGAATGGTGAGCTGGCAAAAGAGCTTTAAGGAGGGAAAAACTGGCTTATTTTTAAATAGCATTTTATCCTATAAAAAGAGTATACTAAAATAGTATACTAAAAATAATACTTTATCATGCGTAATATAGTAATTATTATTTCAAACCATTTTCCCCTTTTTCTCTAGTCTAAATGACAGCAGTTCAGAAGCTTCAAAATGATGAATATGTAACTTTCACTTCTCTAATGTGGGCAAAATATCACCAGCATTACTAGTTTTTTCTTTTTTTTTCTAGTTTTTTCTTTCCACGTAAGCCCTCAAGGTTACATTTTCCTTCCTAAGTGTAGACATTTCTGAGTGAATGGCAGGAAAAATGCCTCACGGAGAGGCCAAGCATGGGCAGGCAAAGATTTGGTTTCGCAAACAGCAAAGAACAGAAGGAAAACACAGCTTTGGTATTTTCCTGGGATCTGAGTTAATAAGTAGGAACCACAGGAAAAAAATAGCAAATAACAGCTGAGTTACATCAGAATGGAAACAGAAATGGTGAGCTCGAATTTCAAATTTGAAACTATTAAGCAACGTGATTAATAGTGCTGGCTTATCTCCTATTAAGCATTAGAAATCCTGTAGTGTTTTCAACAAAAAGGAACAACTTGTTCAGAGTAAAACTGATGCTCACTGAAAAAATTCATAAGCCTGTACCTCCGGGAGTACATTCTGCTTTTCTTAAATATCAAATCGACTAATTATTCACCTGCCACAATTTTTAAACTAAAAAAAAAAAAAGGTTTTCTTTCCATGTTTAATTGACACAACTTTTTAGGTAAAATTTTTATTACTCTTTGAACCTATAATGCAATGCTTCAGCTGAACTTTGACTGTACTGAAAGTTTAACTGAGCATTAATCAGAGTAAAAAGTTTTCTGGATGAACACAAAAATATCCACGCTGTGTGTGCGGAGTCCACTCAATGGCAGTGGTAAGTGATATGTTTAGCAAGTACATGGTTGGATCTTACATAATGGCTCATATAAACAGGGAAAAAGAAGGAAAATATGAGAGCATTGGGATTTCAGCTTAAATGTCCCTGTTCAGTTTTCCTTCTAGCAAAGCCAATTTCCTTATGTGCTTATTTCTGGATTCAAGCCAGAATCCAGAATTCCTATTTCTAGTCAAATAACAGGGAAACAATTACAAACTCCAAATACAGTTAAAGAATCCTGAGAGACAGAGTGTACGGAGAGAACTTGAGTGGTGCCAGCTGCTTCGTTTTGGACATTAGGCAAGTTATTTTACATTTCTGCCACATTTGACAGGATTGTGACAGTTCTGACCTGCTTTCCAGGTATGATATTAACCATAACTCAAGAAAAAGAATCTTTAAGCAAAGACAGGTTAATTAGAGAGTAGGCTGTTTCTGTTACTTGGGAAAAGGGTTTGGAATGTTATAGTTTTACTATTTCCATTACATTTTTAATAAATTAGACTGCAGTTTGATGTAAGTGATAGAATTTGCCCGTATGTAAGATGGAAATAAATTGATCTTCTTATCATTTGCCTCCTTTTGTTTCAGAAGTAAAATCTTCAGAAACATTTTTTCTTTATTTTATCTATTTGAAGCTTAAATTTACACATCTCTTTAAGACTTCTATTGAGTAAAAATTGGTGAAATAAAAGCAGGGGAACAATTACATTCCATCTTTTTAAAAATACCCCAGATAGTCCAACAGGTGGCTCCAAGGCTGTGTTTTTAAGTAAAGTTATAATGAACTGTCTTACATGAAAGTTATAGTCCATTCATTAATGCCAACTTACTAAATATGCCTCCCTCAATAACTTTTTTCTTTCTTTTGGCTTGTATAAATAATGGTTCTTTAAAGTGTGTCATTTTGGAAATGTACATGCTACTGACAATTTTTGTTTTACAAAGTTACATGTCAGATGTAGGACTTTTCAGTTTCAAGTTCAGTGTTTCTACTTTCAGACTAAATCCATTGTAATTACAGCCATATATACCTCATTTTATTGTGCTCTGCCTTATTGCACTTTACAGATATTGCTTTTCTTTTTTTTTTTTTTTTACAAATTGAAGGTCTGTGGCAACTATTCATTGAGCAAGTGTATTTTCCAGCAGTTGTACTCATATTTGATAATTATCACAATACTTCAAAATTTTTTCATAATGCTGTGGCACATCGAATAGTCTATAGTATATAAACAATGCGCATATGCACTAGGAAACAAAAACAAATGTGATTTGCTTTATTGAAATGGTCTGGAATTAAACCCTGGAATTAAAATATAGCTGAATTATGCCTGTAACTAATTTAAATAAAGGTAATGGGGAAATTGTTGGGCTTTAGTCTTACAAATGACTTATATCAACTATAAATAATACATCCAAGAATGTTGTTGGTGCTGTAGAATCCATGTAATTGCATGGCATCTGACGACGTTTACAGAGTGACCCCACGCAAAACAGAACGAAACCATGCCCAGTTCTGCACCACCCTCACAACTGTTCCGAGTTTGAGTTCATTGCTATAGCAACTGTGCCAGTCCATCATCCAACTGTTGAGGGTCTTCCCTTTGACCTGATGCTCTGCTTTACCAAGCATCACGGCCTTCTCCAGGGTCTGGTTAGTGGAAATGAACCTCTCATCTCCACACCAAGGACCCCCCGCCATTGAGTCCATTCCAACCCATAGTGACCCCAAATGGGGTTGCAAACACTCTAAACGATTACATGAGCAGACAGTCTCATCTTTCTGTTGCAGAGTGACTGCCAGTCTTGCAATTAGCAGCCCAGCACCTCACCCACAGCACCACCAGAGCCACTTGATCCCTCGGATGGCATCTACAAAATAATGTGAAAGAAAGCTTGCCATTCTGGGTGTATTTTTATGGTGTATTCAATATTCTTTGCCAACACCTTAATTCAAGGACATTAGTTCTTCTTTAACTTTGTTATTCACTGCCCAGATTTTGTTTGCATATATTGTTGTTAGGTACTGCCGAGTCTGCTATGCCTGCACCATTCTACAATCGTTATATTTGAGTTCTGTAGCAGCCACTTGTCAGTCGCCTTGTTCAGGGCCTCTCTCCCTCTTTCCCGCCGTCCCTCTACTTTACTAACCATAATGTTCTCCAGATAACATGTCCGAGAACATGAGACAAAGTCTCACCATCCTTGTTTCTATGAGGCATCCTGCTTACACTTCTTCCAACACAGATGGGTTTGTTCTTCCGGCAGTCCAGGGGCTTTCCATATTCTTCCCCAGCACCATCACTCAGATGCACAAGATCTGTCCAACTTCCGAGTGAATAAATACCATGGCTTGGGTCAGGCACACCTTCGTCTTCAAAGTGATTGATTTACTTTTCAAAAGGTTAAAGAGGTCTTGGGCAGCCTTTTTGTCCAATGCAATAGGTTTGATTTCCTGACTGCTATTTCCTTGAGAGTTGATTGTGGATCCAAGCAAAATGAAGTCATTGACAGCATCTACCACGATGCTGTCTTCTGACTCAGTTGTGAACATGTTGGTGTTCTGTACATTGACTTAGCATAATTTGGGTGGCAGTCTTTGATTTTCATCAAGTTCCTTAAGTCTTCCGTTTCAACAAGCAAAGTTGTACCATCAGCATTCATAAGTTGTTAATAAGCCTTCCTCCAATTCTCATGCCAAGCTCTTTTTCACACAGCCCAACTTCTTGTGTTATTTGTACAACATACAGATTGACTAAGTATGGTGATTGGACACAATCTTGATACATACCTTTTCTGATTTTAAACCACGCAGTATTTCCTCACTCTGTTTGAATGACTGCCCCTTGGTCCACGCACAGGTTCCACATGAGCACAATGATGTGTCCTGAAATTCCTGTTCTTTCAACATTATATGTACTTTGTTATGATCCACACAATCAAATTCCTTTGGATGGTCAATAAAACATGTGTTACCATCTTTCTGGTATTCTTGGTTTTCAGCCAAGATCCATGCGTATGAGGTGTCAGGTACATGTTATTTCCCAAAGTGACGTCATTGGTTTTTAACATTTGAAAGAGGTCTTTTGCAGCAGGTTTGCCCAATGAAACTGATTTTTTGACTGCTTCCATGCATCTGTTGGTTTTCATACTGTGGTGGCTTGTATGTTGCTGTGTTACTGGAGGCTATGTCAAAGCATTTCAAATACTGTGTCCCCTATAATGGACAAGTTTCCACGGAACTTCCAGACTAGGCAACTTACTTCTATAAAAAACTTGACCAGGGAAAACCTTATGAATGTAAGTGGAACTTGTCTACTATAGTGCTAGAATATTCGGCCCTCCAATTAGAAGACACTCATAGTGTGAGTGAGCCAGCGCTGCCTCCTGAAAGTACAGATCTTAGTGATATGGATGAAGTGCAACTTTTTGAACCTTCACTTGCTGATGTGACATGACTCAATCTGAGAAGAAACGGATGCAGGCATCCATTCATAACAGGAATGTGGAATGTTCTATGTGGAAGCGTTCAAATGAAACAGAACAATTAAAGATCTTTATCCAGTGAATATTATGAGTCAACATTGACTCGATGGCAGTGAGTTTGCAAAATTCAATCCTGTGATCTCTGGCACCATTACTATCACCAAGGCTGTGTTCTCCAACTATTAATACTTCTGTGTTTCTAATTTTTGTATTCCAATAACCAGTAATTATCAATGCATCTCAGTTTGATGTTTGATCAATTTTCTGACTTTAAAAACTTGAAAAAAACTTCAGTTGAAGTGATAAAATTTGCAAAACCAAAATATTAATTGGAAATGCCTTTTTTTCAATAACAGCCATGGAAACTATATAAGTGAACCTCACCATATGGAATATATAGGAATCGAATTGACTACATTTGTGGAACAAGACCCATGGATAAGCTCGATCTGATACATCAGAACAAGGCCAGGGCCATTTGCAGAACAGATCATCAACTGCTTACACAGAAATTCACGTTGAAGAAAATGAAAATAAGGCCACAAGTGCCAAAGTATGACCTTAAGTTTATCTCATCTGAGTGTTGGTACCATCTCAATTACATATTTCATGTATTGAACACTAATGACTGAAGACCAATCAATTTGTTGTTGATATCAAGGACATACTATATGAGAATACAAAAGGTCATTAAGAAGACAGAAAAAAAGAAAAAGAAAATGCCTCAATGTGTGTTAGAATAAACGCTGGAATTTGCTCTTGGATGTAGAGTAGTTAAAATAAATGTAAGAAATGATGAATTAAAAGAGCTGAACAGATTATTAATGGGCAGTCAGAGACAACAAAGTTTTATAAGATGTTCAAAGACCCGCAGTTAGAAAACTAAAAGGGAAGAACACACTCAGTGTTTCTAAAGTTGAAAAACTTGGGGTGGGGGTGGGGGCGGAGAAGAAGACAGCTCTGGAGTTTCATTATTGAAGGGCGCAATATTGAAAGATGCAGGAAGTAGCAAAAGGCAATGAAAGCATATGCTACAGCAAAAAGATTTAGCCAATGTTCCACCATTCCAGGAGGTAGCACATAATCAACTGGATGCAACTTTATCTCAAGCCAGATGTGCAGAATAAATACTAGTTTGCTATAATCAGTGATGTGGAACTGCTTTTCAGAGCAAGTTCCTAAGGCCTCAACATATCTTTGTAATTGTAGATATTGGTTAGAATTATAAATGTGGACACTTAGAGGCCCTAAGACATCTTCAGAAATTATCCTTAAGATGGCCAAAGTAATATAATGACTTTTTATTAGCACCACGCTCTAACCAACAGAGCTACCCGGCCACACAACAATGACTTTTTAAAATGTGTAATAGAATCTTAAAGTGTCTTAATGCTTAAATCTCTGTCAGAAAAAGGCCTCACTCCCTTCTGTGCAAAAGATCATGATTTGGTTATTTTAATAACAACGAGATAGAAATCTTTGGACACTAAGAGACAGACCTTTTAAAGTGCTTCATTGACTCTCTACTTACTATGAAATCTAATGCTAAGCAATGCATACATGTTTTATACTTGTCCAGCATCTTCTGGAGAACATACAAAATACACTTTCACTTATGCCAGGCACAAGATGAAAATAAATTTATTTTAAGGTCTTTAAGCCACTTTATTTGTTTCTCAACTAAAGTAGTCCCACAACTACATAGGCTAATTTGATAAATTGATTCCATCAGAGAGCATGAAATAAAAGTCTGGAATCCTGAATATTATCTCTAATTAAAAAAACAAAACAAAACCCCTCATAGCCAATGAGTCAATTCCAACTCATAGTGATCCCCTAAAGGACAGGGTAGAATTGCCCACAGGCATTTCAAG